ATGGCCTCTGTGGACAATTTCAATCCACCTCCCTGTAGAAAAGCAACCGGTACCCCCTCACCTCTCTCAGATGAGCCAACCCGAACCAGAGACTTTTCATCTCCTGTCGGCTTTCCCCCAATATTCAGTTTAAAAGCTGCTCTGCCACCTTTTTGATTTTAAGTGCCAGCAGCCTGGTTCCTTCTCGGGACAAGTGGAGACCGTCTCGCCTGTACAGCTCCCTCTTGTTCCAAAAAGTATCCCAGTGCCTAACAAACCTGAACCCTTCCCCCCTACACCATCGTCTCATCCACGCATTGAGACTCCTGATCTCTGCCTGTCTCTCCGGCCCTGCGCGTGGAACAGGTAACACTTCTGAGAAGGCTACCTTGGAGGTCCTGGACCTAAGTTTCCTGCCCAGCAGCCTAAATTTCTCCTCCAGGACCTCACGACTGCATTTCCCCACATCGTTGGTGCCGACATGCACCACGACCACTGGCTCCTCCCCAGCACTATCTACCAGCCTATCTAAAACACGCGTAATGTCCGCTACCTTCGCACCAGGCAGGCAAGTCACCATACGGTCAGTACGCGGGTTCGCCACCCAGCTGTCTACCTGCCTAAGGATCGAATCACCCACTACCAAGAGCCCCCCTCCCACCCTGCTCAGGGATGGTTCCTTGGTGCAAAAGGAGAGCCGCTCACCAGCTGGGGAAGAGGTCCCTTCTGAGGGCACATTCCCCTTATCCTCAGCATGGTGCCCTGTTTCCCCTAGACCCTCATGCTCCCTGACAGCAGCGGGGCTGCCAGATCCAGAGTGGGACGAAGCTAACAAGTCCCCGAGAGTCTTTTCTGTGTGCCTAGCTGACTGTCTCTGCTTCTCCAGGTCAGCCACCTTGGCCTCAAGGGAGCACACACGTTCCCTGAGAACCAGGAGCTCCTTGCACCGAGGACACACCCAAGACTTCTGCCCAGTGGGCAGATAGTCATACATGTGACACTCCGTGCAAAACACTGGATAGCCCCCAACCCCCTGCTGGCATTCTGGCTTCATAATTCTTTTAAAATAAATAAATATAATCCCCCTTTTAAACCCTTGGTATTTATGTGGGTTTTGTTATCAAGTCAAATTATTTTACGGGAAAGACAAAGAGCCTAGGGCCTTGTCTTTCTGGCTCTTTTTGGGCTTCTTACAGCGCCCCTAGTCTAAGAGTCCCTAGGCTAAGAGCCACAGGCAAAGAGCCCTTTAGCTCACCCTTCGGCTCGTGCCAGAGGCTCGTGCCTCTGCCAAGGTGTTTCCTTAAATAGAGGCCTCCCCCAGCAGAGGTCAGGCAGCAGCTATTCAAATTCAAATTCACCCAGGCACTCAATCACAGGCAAAACAATGCCCCTTCCACTTCCTCTCAATTACAGGCAATCCCAGTCAAACAATGCCCGTTCCTCTCCCACACTCAATCAGCCAGGGCTCTGCAAGAACTCTAAGTGCTTCCACACACTGCAAAACACAGTTTTCCCACAAAATATCCTTAGCTGAATTCTCTCAGCTGAAAGCAAGTAAAAGAAACCCACTCACCTCTCTCACAGCTCTCTCTCCTGCTCCTGCTCAGAGCTCAGCTGGTCTCCTCTGCCTCTGGCAAGGTGCTTCCTTAAGTGCCCACGAGTTCTTGTATGGTGAGAAAGGGAGAAAAGGACTTATTTCTTTACCTGCTCTATCCCATGCATAATCTTATAAACCTCGATCATGTCACCCCTCAGTCGTCGCTTCTCCAAGCTAAAGAGCCCCAAGCGCTTTAACCTTTCCTCATAGGGAAAGTGTTCCAACCCTTTCATCATTCGAGTTGCCCTTTTCTGCACTTTTCCCCATGCTCTAATATCCTTTTTGAGGTGTGGTGACCAGAACTGTACACAGTACTCCAAATGAGGACGCACCATCGATTTATACAGGGGCACAATGATCCTGGCTGATCTGTTTTCAATTCGCTTCCTCACAATCCTGCTCGGCTTCCCACAGGCCTTCCACTCACCATTTTGCTCCAGCCCCCCAACTCCTCTTACCAGTCCCCCTGGCTCTGTGCTCAGCCATGGAGCTGGGTCCCTTGGCGTGGGGGGAAGAGGGCCGTGTGAAGGGACCCCCCTTGCCTCCTGGGTTCCAGGCTCCAACCAGTACTTCGACGGAAGCACTGGTCAGACACCGGAAAAAACCCTCCTGGAAGCCGAGTGGATCCGTCATCCCCTGACAGTCGACTGTTTATACTGGACCTCCAGCCATGCAGGGCAAGAAGAAGAAGAAGAAGAGGAGATTGGATTCATACCCCGCCCTTCACTACCCAAAGGAGCCTCAGAGCGGCTGACAATCTCCTCTCCCTTCCCCTCCCCGCAACAGACACCCTGTGAGGTGGGTGGGGCTGAGAGAGCTCTGACACAAACTGCTCTTTTTCAAGGACAGCTCTTGTCAGAACCATGGCTTGCCCAAGGTCATCCAGCCAGGTGCAAGTGGAGGAGTGGGGAATCAAACCCGGTTCTCCCAGGTTAGAGTCCGCGCACCTTAACCACGACACCAAACTGGCTCACCACAACCAGCCATGCCTTCGACCAATGGTAATCTGACCACAGCATCGGCTGGGAGTCCAGCCCCATCACCAGAGGTCTCGACAGTACCAAGACGCTGAAATGAAATCCAGTGCATCCAGTCCTTTTTCATGCATTGGGTCCATAACCACCCAAGGGGGACCACGGTAACCGTGGCAGCTGTGAGAGCTGTGCTGGGGGGGGGCTGCTGCCCTTCCTCCTTGCCCCCCCCCCACTGCAGGGAGGCCAGGATCTGGCAAAGGGTCCCACCCCACCCGCCATCCACGGAAGGAGGGGAGGGGCAGTGTTATGTACGCGAACTGCCACCAGGGGTCCGCGGCTACAGTCGGGAGCAGGAACCCGGGATCCTCGTTCCCCCAGCATTCACCAATAGGAACTTTGGCGGGAAATTCAGACCCTCCAACGGGACTGTGGGTGTGCTGGGTGGGTGTGTCTATAGTTGGCCTTGCAGGGCCGTTTGGCAGTTCCTGTGTGAAGTACAATAAACGTGTGTGAACGCATGTCGTTGTCCGAGTCCTCCATGCGGTGAACCCAGTACTTTACAGGCAGGCTCCCTGTGTGCGGCCCACTGGGCCTGGGGCAGCAATTCCCCCTGGTGCGGCCCAGCAGAGTGGAGCAGGAAGTACTGATTTGTGGTTGGAGCTGCTCAGGGGCCAGCGGTTCCGCTCGGTGCCCTTTCCTGGGAGTCAGAAGATGTAGCCGAGGCCCCGTGGGGGGGGGGGAGGAGAGGGGGGGGGTACCGGCCCTGGGGGGGGGAGGAAGGGGGGGCTCTCCCCCCCCCCCTCCGCATCACTCTCTCCAGAGGCCGGCCCCTTCCCACTCCCAGGCTGTTATCAGAGACCAGCCAAGCCACTGTGGAGTTTGCTCCTGGCTGGGCCATAAAACGGGGGCAGGTGGCTGGAGGGGTATGTGGGGGGGGGGCGGAGAGAGCGTCCTCCGTGTGAGATGGGAACAGCCTGTACCAGCACGAAATGCCAGGCCCAGCGTGCTGCCGGCAGGGGAGGGGGGAGGGGCACTGCCCCATCACTGCCCCCCCCCTTCCTCTCCTCTGACTGGCACCAGCCGCTCTCCAGCCGCTGACAAAGAGGAAGGCAGCGGCATTCGCTGGAGCAGCCGGGGGTCGACCCGAGGGCCTTCCGCTTGCCCGGTGCCTGTGCTGTGCTCGCCCCCCCCCCAATGCATGGCAGGAGTCCAGGAAGACACGGCCTTCCCCTGCGTCACTCCGCCGGCAAATCAGTTGGCGACTCTGGAGGGCAGTGTGCACACATGCAAATGCCCGTTGTTAAGCTCAACTCCTACTTGTGTACATTTAATTATCTAAGCACGAAACACTCTTCAATGAAAAACAACCACCACCTCTGTTTTTTTTACTTGTGGGGGGAGAGATGTCTCTTAGGACGCAAGGAGGGACGTAATACATCCGCAACCTCGTGATCTCGACACACAGATTTGGAAAGTTTCAATGGACTTTGTCTCTCTCTCTCTCCCTTGTTCTATTGTTCATACTGTTCTGACAGAGATTGTTGTTGTTTTCCATTGCAGAGTCTTTTGTACTTAAGATAATTACATGTACACAAGTATGAGTCGAACTTAACAACTGTATTTGTATGGATATATAATGCTTGCTGATGAGTGTTGTTGCTCCCTGAGGTCTACTCTGGAGGGCAGCCAGGACTCCCGGGTCTCCAGCCCAGGAGGAGGAGGAGGAGGAGGCATCTCCGTCAGGGCCGGCTCACCCACTAGGCGAACTAGGCATTCGCCTAGAGCGCCGGGCCCTAGATGGGGCGCCGAACTGCGCCTCCCCCCGCCAAAAGCCCATACGCCATTGCTCTCCCAGCAGCATCATGTGGGGCGCGAAAGGGGCCGACAAAGGTGGGTTGTGCCTTTCCTCGCTCCTCCCCGCTTCATCGTGCATATGCCCCCCCCCGGAAGCAGCCTGCCCAATTATTGTTGCAGCCCGTGGGGGTAGGCGGTGGGCTCGCTCTTGGCGGGTCACTCTCGGCTAGGGCTGCGCTCTGGCCCCACCTCCCCTCCTGGGCCCTGCTCCTGAGGCGGCGGGGTGAGAGGAGGGATCGAGGAAGGAGAAGGCGGGTCTGCGGCATTGTTGACTGGGGGTTTGGACGGGGACGCCCGCTTCCTTCCTCTGCCTCGCTGTGATGAAATCCCTCTGTTCCCCCCCCCCCCCCCCCCCCCCCCCCCCGCCCTCAAAAAAAAGAAAGCGGCCGGCCTGGTGAGGTTGGAGCACTGCCCGGCAGAGCTCCATGCAGGGAGGGGGCGCAGCCGAGGTGGGCCAGAGGGAGAGGCGAGTGGGGCCCCCGGGAGGTTTCGGGTCGTTGGGGCTGGTGCGCAGACGACCACCCTGCTTGGGGCGGCCACGGCTCCCTTCCCAGGCGCCAGAGCCAGGGAGGCCGGTTGCCGTGCTCCAGTGGAGGATGGCAGCAGAAGGTGAGTCCAGGCAGCGGAGAGGCCAGCTGGGGGGGGGCAGGAGAGAAGTTGGACTTCCTTCTCTCCAGGCCCTGCCTGGAGGTTGGCAACCCCATCATTGGGCGCACGCGGGGGAGCACCAGAAGGTAGCCCTGCCTAGGGCCCAAAAGACCCTCGGGCTGGCCCTGATCTCCGTCTTCGTCCTTTCAGTGGGAGAGGCCCAAGACCAAGATGGGCGGCCGCCATGTTTGTCTGCAGCAGCCGGAAAGAGCCCCTCGGGTGGTGGCCAGGGAGGCCCGTTCTTTGGGAATTGCCGCTCACTCCTCCAGAGGGCCGGCCCTGACTCACGAGAGCGCCTCCCCCGCCGCCACCGAGCCTGTCAGTCCTGCAGGGGCTCCTGGACTCTGCCCCCTTGCTCCTTCCTGCTTGGGGCCCTTCCACGCGCAGAGAGCAGGGGCTCTGCATCTCAGCCAAAAGGCCGGGCGTCAGGACGGAGTCCCGCAGTTTGCTTCCAGGGTGCCAACTCAAGTTCGGTCTCTCCCCTGCACAAGTTGTCCCAGGGCTTCATGGGGAAAGGAGTCTCCCGCCCCAGAGCAACTTGTTTTGCCCGCCCCCCCACTTCCTCCCACTGAGACCCCTTGCCTCTTGCTCTGCCCTCGGAGGGAGTGGGGCCCACTGGCTCTCTCTCTGTGATGCCCACTTTACCCCCTGAAGCATCTCTGAGCTTCCACCAACCCCCCACCCCCACCCACTCTTTGCTTTCCAAGCTGAATTTCTCTGGCATGTTTTTGAGCCGAGGTCACGGGCTTTGGCTCTGTCCGGGCCTTGTCCCGCTGCCAGGTGGCATACCCTCTCCGGGCACCCAGGAGGTCTGTGCCAGGCACCTGCCCCACGGCCCCGCCTCCGGCCCGGCTGCAGCCAATCGCCTCCTTTCGGCGGCCGGCCCCTCCCTCCCTGCTCCAGTATGACTAGGGCTGCCGGCAGGAGAAGTCCTCAGTGCTGGGGCCAAGGAGACGCCACCCAGGAGCCTGCCCGCCCGCCCGGTGAGTCGGCCCTGCGAGGGCACCCCTGTGGGCAGAGGGGTCTGTGGGGGATGGATGGATGGGGGGCCCCTCCCGGCTCAGCTCCCGGGCTGCGTCCAGAGACGGGTGTGTGTGTGTGTGTGTCACATCCAGAGCTGCCACAGCTGGGCCCCACCTGGGACGTTCTGGGGAGGGCACCCAGGAAGGCTCCTCACGGAGATCCCGGGGTTTGGGGTGTGTGTGTGTGTGTGTGTGTCCGTGTCCAGGAGTGGGGAGGACCAAAGGCACAGGGGTCTGGGCCGTCCATCGGGGGTCTGGGCGGTGGGGGGGGAGACGTCAGAGGCTCAAGTTAAACTCAGACACGACAGGGAATCCAGGTGGTGCCCCAAAGGAAAGGGCTGGAGGCCTGCGGAACTGGGGGGTTCAGAGGAGCCGGCCACAGAGGGCTGAGCCCTTCCTGCCTCGAGGATCACCAAAGGCTGGTTTTAAAGGCCCTCCGGTGGTGGTGCGGTGGTGGTGGTGGTGGGGGGGGAATGCAGGGAAATGGAAGGCTATGGGTGCCAGTACTGATTTAGAGGCAGACGATCCTCTCCCCCCCCAAAATGTGTTCCTTTCCCTCCCTGCTGTGCTTGCCGGGATCAGGCCCTGACCTTCTGTCGAGGGGGGGCCCCCCTCCGGTGACGGAGCCCTGCAGGATTCCTGGCCCGGGGGGGGCCAAGGGGCCTCCTCTCTGCCTTGGAGGGGGGCCCCTCCAGAATGGGGTGGTGGTGGAAGCAGTGCAGAAGCTCCCGTCCAAGCGGGCAAGGGGGTGGGGAGACAGATCTCACGCCGGAATGACCTGACCCAGGAGCCCCCAGCCCCAAACGCTGTTTTGCACCCTGTGGAGGAGAGGCAGGTGGAGAGGAGGCAGAGCGGTGGTGGTGGGGGCTCTGAATAAGGGCAGGCGGACGCCAACCTCCCCCCAGGCCTGCCCTACAGCTCAGCGGGGGGGCAGGTCTTCCTGGGGGGGGGCAGCATCAGAGAGGGCACCTCCCTTTCTGACCCCACCTCTCGGGAAAAGGCGTGGGTTGTCCCTCTGCCTTGGGTGGCCTCCTTGCATCCCTCATCTCGGTAGGGCTGCCAACCCTGCGTGATCCCAAGCGAGGCTGCCGGGGGTGGCAGAGCAGTCCGCGGGGTGACCGCAGAGGGGCACCGGATCCCAAGACGCTTTCCTGGCCGCCTCCCAAACGCCCTCCTCCCAAATGCCCTCCTCCCAACCCCAACTCATAAGGATCCCAGCGAGGGTTTCACCGGGAGCTCCCCCTCAACACCAGCAGGGACATCGGTCTGAACCACCCAGAGATTTAGAGTCAGCAGAATCATGTGCTCATTTAGATACGGGCAGCAGAGGTCCTGCAGCAAAGAGCCACCTACTTGGTAATGTTTGCTAGAAGAAGGTGTCTAATGGCGTAGTGCCCCCCCCTGCAAAGCCTTTTGCAAAGCCGCTCGGTTCTTGAGCGAGCCGTCAGGGAGCCGCAGAGGCAGGCAAGAGGCAGGGCCACCTCCAAAGGTCTCTTGCCTCGGAAACTTCGGGGCGGGGGGGTCGCCAGAAAGCTGCCCCTTGATGGTTAGAAAGAAGAAGAAGAGATTAGGTTTATACCCTCCCCTTCACTACCCAGAGGAGTCTCAGAGTGGCTGACAAGCTTCCTTCCTCTGCGGCGTCAGACTCACCAGCCCCGGTCCAGAATACTTCATTTGTCCCAAACTTATAAAAAAGATAAATTCAATACAAACCAGAAGGGGTTTTCTGGCTCTTTAAGGACTGCTTTACGGTGGCCCCGGCTCCCGAGGACTAGAGCCCCCTTTTCCTGACACAGGAAGACAGACCTCGGCTGTGCGGCCTTTTTGAGAGCCCAAAGGGTGCGAAAGGCAAGCAGACCTGGCCTGGGCATCGCTGGGCCAAACCCCAAATGACTGCAAGCGGGCGGGGTGTGGGGGGGGGAGTGACCATCTGGGACACAGGTTTCGGTCCACCAGCACTTGGACCACAATACATCTGTGAATCTTGTTGGTCTTCTTCTTCTGCAGATTTTCTCTCTGCTCCCTGTCTGAAAAGGGTCCAGAGCAGTGTTCCCTCTAAGCTGAGCGAGGGTGAGCCAGCTCACAGTTTCTTAGCCTCCGGCTCACACATTTTTGTCTTGGCTCAGGAAGGAGGGGCTCCAGAGCAAACTAATTTACGCAGCAGCCAAATCTCTCGCTCATAGCTTTAACGCCAGGAGCTCACAAAGTAGAATTTTTGCTCACAAGACCCCACAGCTTAGAGGAAGCCTTGGTCCAGAGCCAGGTATCATGGACTACTCCCCAACTCGAAAATCAAGACTAAACAGTTTTTTCTATTCAAACTGTTTAGTGGCAGAGTTATCAAGGATTTATCGATGAAAGGCTGTTTATCCGCTTTTAAATCTGATAATACAAACAAGTAAGGTGTGAGTTCCATTCTTGGAACAACCACCAGCAAACCTCCACACCCAGAGGCAGGCGTCCTCTAAATCCCAGAGCCAGGAGGCAACCTTGGGGGAAGGCCTCCACTCCCCCACCCCCACCCCCGTTGTTGCCCCTCCAGAGGCAGGATGCTGGACTAGATGGACCTTCACTGGCTGCTTTTAAAGGCGCAGGACCTCGGCAGGAGGACTCTTCTGTGACCGTTTCCATTAATGCTCAGAGAGTGAAGCAACCTCCAGTGGCCCTTTTAACACCCACAGAGTTCCATTCAAGGTCCCCAAGAGGCACCCACACAAAAGCTTCTTCTACCCCAAATTAAACTTTGTGGGTCTCAGAGGTGCCTGACTGGACCTGAACGTTGCTCTGCCGCTTCAGACCAGCACGGCGCCCGCCCCCGCCCCCCGCCCCTCTCCAGCAAACCGGGTCCACTGAGAGTTGGCCTCGAGGGCTCGAACTCTTCCTTAACAAGCAGAATCAGTAAGAGAAAGAAGTCGTCAGCAGCCGCGGCGGCCTGAGGGCAAATTCCACAGAGCAAATGCAACAAGGAGACAGGCAGGGTTGCCAGCTCTGGGTTGAGAAATCCCTGGAGATTTGGGGGTGGAGCCTGGGGAAGGAGCCGGGCAAGGTAGAATGCCCGAGAGTCGTCCCCCCCCCCCGAAAGCAGCCATTTCCTCCTGGTAACCAATTGCTGTAGGCTGCCGACCAGCTCCCCGGGCCCCACCTTGAGGCTGGCAGCCAGAGAGAGAGAGGGGGGGGGGGGGGGGGTAGGTCTTCCCCCCCCAGGTGCCTCTGGTGTGCTGCCCCCCCCCACCCTCTGTGACCACCCCCCCCCCGCTTTCTCCCGCAGGGACCAGAGTGGAGATGTGGGGCACCTCAGTGGCCACCGCCGTTGCCTTGTTCAGCCTGCTGGTGGGGACGACCTCCGGCTACCCCACACCGCCCGAGGCGGCCGCGCCCCTCTTCTCCGACTTGACCCCTGAGGAGCTGAAGGCTGTCCGGCACTTCCTGATGAGTCGCCCGGAGCTGGGGCTCCAGCCCAACCAGGGGGGGACTCTGGACAAGAACTGCCTCTTCCTGGTGGAGCTCCTGGCCCCCAGGAAAAGCCAGGCCTTGAACTACCTGGATTCCGGGGGGCCCCGCCCAAGACGCCGGGCCAAAGCGGTGGTGTTCTTTGGGGCCGAGGCCAACCCCAACGTCACCGAGTACATTGTGGGTCCTCTGCCCACGCCCACCTTTTACCGGCCTTCTGGCTCACCCGTGGCCTACACCTCGAGGCCCATGAACCATCTCGAGTACCAGCTGCTGTACAGCACCATGCAGACGGCGCTGGCCCCGCTAGGGGCGTTTCTGGAGGACGTCTCTGGCTTCAGACTCGAGCCCTGCGGCGACCGGTGCTTCACCTTCACAGACGTGGCCCCCCGCGGTCTGGAGCCAGGCGAGCGTCGAACGTGGATTCTACTGCAGAGGTTTGTGGAGGGCTCCTTCTTGCACCCGGTCGGTCTGGAGCTGCTGATTGATCACAGGCCTCTTGATCCAGTTGCCTGGAAGGTGCAGAAGCTCTGGTACAATGGGCAGTACTTTGACAGCCCCGAGGAGCTGGCTGAGAGATACACCCAGGGCCAGGTGGAAATTGTGCGCCTGCCCGAGCACCCACAGCACAGCCTTTTCTCCACATTTGTCCCTCGTGGAAACTTCACCACAGGCCCCCCCACAGACACGCATGGCGCCAAAATATGCGAAACAAGCGGCCACCAGTACTACGTGCGCGGCAACTGGCTCGAGTACAGCGGCTGGAGCCTGGCCTTCCGGCTGCGCTCCTCCACTGGCCTGCAGCTCTTCGACGTGCGCTTCAACGGCGAGCGCGTGGTTTACGAGCTGAGTGTGCAGGAGGCCGTTGCGTTCTACGGTGGGAGCTCACCCGCCACCATGCAGACGAAATACATAGACGTCGGGTACGTGATGGGCTCCCTCTCTCACGAACTGGCTCCCGGGATCGACTGCCCGGAGGTGGCCACCTTCCTGGATGCCCACCACATGCACGACACCGACGGGCCCGTCCGCTACCCGCGTGCCATCTGCATCTTCGAGCTGCCCACTGGGGTGCCCCTGAGGCGCCATTTTGACAGCAACTTCCAGGGTGGTTCCCACTTCTACGCAGGCCTGGAGGGCCACGCGCTCGTGCTGCGCACCACCTCCACCGTGTACAACTACGACTACATCTGGGACATCATGCTCTTCCCCAACGGAGTGCTGGAGACCAAAGTCCACGCCACCGGCTACGTCCACGCCTCCTTCTACACGCCTGCGGGGCTCCAGTATGGCAACCGTATCCACAGCCACGTGCTGGGCAACATGCACACCCATCTGATACATTACAAGGTCGACCTGGACGTTGCAGGTGAGTCTTGGCCTGGCTAAAGGACCCCTGAGGGCACACGCAGTCCCTCTTTCTCGAGGAGTGGCAGGGCGCCTCCCACGCCTGAGTCACGCCTGCCAGGAAGACCTGTGGGGTGGGTTTCCAGGCCCAAGGGGGCGAGTCCTCTGCAGCCAAGCCCACTATTGGACCCACGTTCGGGGGGACCT